AGCAGCAAAAGAAACCACACGAATTTCATTAACACATGGAAATTGAACAACACACTTCTGAACAACCAATGGGACACAGAGGAAATTAAAGAAAAAATTAGACAGTTTCTATAATTAAATGACAATGTCAATACAACATACTGGAATCTATGGGACACAATGAAAGCAATCTTAAGAGGGAAATCCATAGCAGTAAGTACTCATATTAGAAAAACAGAGTGAACTCAATTAAACAACCTAATGCTGAATCTCAAGCTTTTAGAAAAAAAAGTGCAAGACAAACCCAAAGCTCATACAAGGGAGGAAATTATAAAGATCAGAGCAGAAATCAATGCAACGGAGACTAAGAGAATGATACAAAAAAATCAATGAAACAAAGAGTTGGTTATTCAAAAGAATAAACAAAATTCACAAATCCTTATCCAACCTTATAAAAAAAGGAAAGAAAAGGCCCAAATCCATGCATTTAGGAATGAAAAGGGTGAAATTACAATGGACCCAGCAGAAATCCGAGGATCATCAATATCTACTTCAAGAACCTATATACCAACAAGATGGAAAACACAGAAGAAATGGACAGATTCCTAGATATGTATGAATTATCAAAGTTGAACAAAGAAGACCTGAAAATTCTAAACAACCCAATATCAATCAATGAAACTGAAAACATAATTAAAAATTTATCAACTAAGAAAAGCCCGAACTCTGATGGCTTCACTGCTGAATTCTCTACAAGACATTTATTGCCACTACTGTTTAAACTCTTCAATGAAACTGAAAGGGAAGTAATACTCCCAAATTCATTCCTGGAAGCAAGCATTACCTTGATCCCCAAAGCAGAGAAAGACCCAACTGAAAAAGAGAACTACAGGCCAATCTCACTAATGAACACAGATGCAAAAATCCTTAATAAGATACTGGAAAATAGAATGCAGATCATCAAGAAGATTATACATTCATCCCAGGGATTCACCCCAGGGATGTAGGGATGGTTCAACATATGCCAGTCAATAAATGTAATACACTATATTAATATAGCCAAGGATAAAAACCATATGATCATCTCAATAGAGGCAGAAATGGAATTTGACAAATTCAACATGCATTCATGATAAAAACTCTAGAAAAAAATTAAAACAGATAGTCTCTACCTCAAGTTGATAAAAGCCATCTATAAAAAACTAATAGCCAATATCATACTAAATTGTCAAAAAATGAAATCCTTCATGCTAAAATCAGGAATAAGACAAAGATGTCCACTATCGCCACTCCTGTTCCATATAGTTTTGGAAACATTAGCCAAAGCAATTAAACAAGACAACAAAATAAAAGGAATAAAGATAGGAAATGAAGAAGTCAAACAGTCATTATTTATAGACAACATGATACTCTATATAGCAGACCCCAAGAACTTCACCAAAAGTCTTCTAGACTTAATAATCAAATTCAGTAAAGTAGCTGGATACAAGGTCAACACCCCAAAATCAATCGCTTTCCTGTACATGAACAACAGACTCACTGAGAGAGAAATGGGGCAAACAATTCCTTTTACAATAGCATCGAAAAAATTGAAATACCTAGGAATCAACCTAATGAAAGAAATCACAGAACTCTACTCTGAAAATTATAGCACTCTGAGAAAAGAGATCAAAGAGGATATCAGAAAATAGAAAGACATCCCTTGCTCCTGGGTTGGAAGAACCAACAAAGTGGAAATGGCCACACTTCCAAAACTGCTACATAGATTCAATGCAATCCCAATTGAAATTCTAGCAGCATACTTCATGGACCTTAAGAAAACAATTCAAAAATTCATTTGGAACAAGAAGAGACCTAGATAGCAAAAGCAATTATAGGCAATAAAGACAAGGTAGGGGGTATCACAATCCCCAATTTGAAACTATACTACAAAGCTACTGTAATAAAAACAACACAGTACTGGCAAAGAAGCAGATCTGAGGACCAGTGGAACAGATTAGATGACACAGAAATAAGTCCAGACACACTCAGCCACCTTGTCTTCAACAAAGAAGCCAAACACCCTCAATGGAGGAAAGATAGCCTCTTTAATAAATAGCGCTTGAAAAACTAATTTGAACTTGCCAAACATTATAACTAGACCTACATCTCTCATCATGCACTAAACTAAAATTGAAATGGAATAAAGATCTAAATATTAAAACAGAAACACTAAACTGGCTGGAAGAGAGGTTAAGTAGAAGTTTTTTTGTTTTGTTTTGTTTGTTTGTTTGTTTTGACACAGGGTATCACTATGTAGTTAAGACTGACCAGGAATTATGTAGCCCAGGATGGTCTCGAACTCACAGTGATCATCCTGCCTCAGCCTCCTGAGTGCTGGGATTACAGGTGTGCACCACATGCCTGGCTAGGTAGAACTTTTGAAGACAATGGTGTAGGAAAAGATTTTATGAAGAAAACCTCAGTTGCCCATGAACTAGTGCAAACAATCAAAAAGTGGAATCTCTTCTTATTAAAAAGAACAAGAGAAACCACCAACAGTGTGAAGAGACAACCCACAATATGGGAAAAAATTTTTACTGTCAGTTCCTCACACAGAGGTCTACTATCTAGAACATATAAAGAACTTAAACAAATCATACCTCCCAAATTTAAAGACCCAATCAATAAATGGGCATCTGAAATGCAGTAATTCTCAGACAAAGAAATAGAAATAGCAAATAAACATATGAAAAAAATATTCAGTATCACTGGTCATTCAAGAGATGCAAATGAAAACAATGCTGAGATTCTACCTCACCCCAGAAAGAATGGCTGCTATCGAGAAATCAACCAGTAAGAAATGCTGATGGGGCTGTGGGGAAAAAGGAACCCTGCTCCAATGTCAGTGAGAGTGTAGAATGCTGCAACCACTGTGGAAATCAGTGTGGAGATACCTCAAAGAACTAGGTTTGGAAGTCCCATTTGACCAGCTATTCCCCTGCTGGGTATCTTCCCAAAAGAGTTAAAAGAATAATACCACAGTGACACATGTGCACCCATGTTTATAGTGACAGTTTGTAATAGCTAAAACCTGGAAACAGTCCAATTGCCCATCAACTAGAGAGTGGATAAAGAAAAAAATTATTTTTACAAAATGGAGTACTACTCAGCCATAAAGAGTGAGAAATTAGAGACATTTATAGCTAAATGGATGCATATTGAGGTGATACTCCTAAGTGAAATAAATAGGACACACATGTGTAAATACCTAATTGTTTCTCTGGTGTGAGAAACTAAAAGTGTAAATAAGGACTAAAAGGTATAATAGATAATGTAAAATAGGAAGAAAAGGGGCAAGGGGGAAGGGGAAGTGGGAAGGGTAGGGGAAAGGAAAGAAGGGAATGTAATTAATATAAAAAAAGAAAAAATGGAAACAAAGTCTTTGTAAATAGAGAGGGTTGGAGGGATTGAAGGAAGGTCATGGGAATGGGGAAAAATAAGAACCAAGATAGACTACATAAAGGTACAAATTGCCAATGATGAATATCGTTATACTGTGTACCTAAAATGTACCAATAAAATTAATTAAAACAAACAAAAAAAGAAAATGTGGTATCTATATAATGGAATACTACTCAGCTATAAAGAATGACACATTTGAGACATTTGTAGGAAAATGGATGCATCTGTAAAATATGTTGAGTCAAAGAAACCACACACACAAGCAAAATATTACATAGTACCATCTCTCATTTGAGTGAGGCAAAGTACAAACAAAGAAAAGAAGAAAGGGACAAGGGGACGGATCTCTTACAATGCAGAAGTGGTCCAAAGGAATAGGGGGAAGGGGTGAGGAGAAGGGGAGGGGAAATAAGAGGAATAAATATGTGCCAAGTACAGAGCCCTAGTAATTAATGAAATCACTACATGCCATAACATGAGCTAAGACAACATGGACAAGGATGAAAAAGGGGATGAGGAACCAGAGGAGGAGGTGGGAGGGGAAGGGGATTAAAAAAAAGAAACAAGCTATAAAACATACATGTACCCACTCCCCAAGATGACTGCAAACTGCATATACTGTATACATGTCCTAATAATTTTTTTTTGGTACTGGGGATCGAACTTGGGACCTTGCACTTGCGAGGCAGGTGGCAGAACCACTGAGCTAAATCCCCAGCCCAATAAAAATTTTTTTGAACTTAAAAAATCTAGGCTTTTAAAAAAATTATTAAGTTTATTGGTGCAATTCAGATATATGTAATGATCACATCATATTGAATTTGTACCTGGGTATGATATAGTTTGATTCTTTTTGTTTCCCATTCCCTTCCCCTCCCTTCAACCCAACTTCCCCTTATTTACAAGAGCTTTGTTTCCATTTTATCTTTCTTTTCTCATTTTTTCTTTACCCTCCTTTCTTTCCCTCTCCCCTCAGCCTTGTGCACCTCAAAACTTTCCCAGCCTCTACCCATTACCCAATTCCAAAGCCACTTTCCCATTTTTAGGTGATTGTCATAGCAGTATCCCATTTCCATGTATAAAAAATAAGTATTAGTTTTCTAGGGCTGATGTAATAAAGTACTAACGTTTGGGAAGGGCCTGAAATCAACAGAAATTTATCATCTCACGATTGTGAATACCAGAAGCCTCAAATCAAGGTGTTAGGTTGACTGTGCTCTCTTTGAAGGTGTTAGGGAAGAACTCGCTCTATGCCTCCTTCAAATCTTCTGGTGGCTTCACATGTTGCTTAGCTTCTGGATGGCTCATTCAAATCCCAAACCATCTGCTTTCTGTGTGTCTCCACATTGCCCTCCCTCTGCGTGTGTTTCTGTGTCCAGATTTCCCCTTTTATAAGGATATCAGCTGTACTGGCCTCGGTGTAGCCTGATTACTTCTATCTTCTATTTCCAAATAAGGTCACATTCTGTGGTAATGGTCTGTGATAGTGAGAGTTAGGGCTTTGGTGTATTTTTATCTGCAGGACATAATTTAAACACAACAAGCTCCTCACAGCTTCATGGGATGGCTGTGCTTACCCAGTGAGAGCAGGTGGCTGTAGTTCTCCAGCATTACATCATGGTACAGGCATCTTTGAGTAGAGTTCAGTTGCTGCCACTCCTCTCTACTGAAGTCCACAGTCACATCCTCAAACGACACTAGTACCTGTAACAACACAATCCTGTTCAAGGCAGCATGGTCAGCACTAGGGGATGGGGAGATAATAGGAAGTTGTCTAATTATTTTTCATCACAATACACTATATGATATAGCTATTAAGCACACATATGCAATATAGTACAGAAGATAAATATCTAATCATAAATTTCTGATATTCATTATACATGAAATTTAATCTTTAATTTAAAAAATAATTTTAAAGGATTTGACCTTGCATCTATTTTGTTACACATTTTTATAGGAAATTTGTATTGTACAACTTTTAAAGGAAGCTGGTATATCACCCACCCCCATTTTTTAAATTTGACATAGCTCCTACTACTGTTGCTTTTATTTATACTTCAAAAATATGACCATTTTCTCTTGATGTCTTTTTATTGTACACCTCTAATGTAATTCCATTTTGGTCAGAAAATATACTCTGTATGATTTCAACAAATAATCTATCTAGGAGATTGTTCCATACTTCCCTAAAAAAAGAATGTATAGGCTGGACATAGTGGCACACATCTGTAGTACCAGCATTTGGGAGGCTGATGCAGGAGAATTGTCATGAAAATCACCAGGCTGGACTACACAGTGAGTTCATAGCAAGACCCTGTCTCAAAAAAATATGCATATTTACCTTCAATGGCCATAGGGCTCTATAATATATAAATCAAGTTGGTTGAATGTTGTTCAAATTCTCTATCATCTTACTGATTTGTCTTTCTGCTTATTCAATCAACAATTTTTCTATTTTGGTAAAAATTGATGAGCTATTAAAGTTTATATGACTCTGTAAAGAACCTAGAATAGCCAAAGCAAGAAAAAGTATGAAAGATTTATATTACCCAATGATAAGACTTACTATAAAGCTACAGTAATTCTGACAATATGATTTTGATGTAAGGGTAAACAAATATATAACTGAAAGAGAACTGAGTCCAGAAACCCACATCTATATGGACAATTGTTTTTTGACAAAGGTGCCATTGCGATTTTATGGGGGAAAGGAAAGTCTTTTCAACAAATTATGCTGGAATAACTGGATATAAATATTGGAGAAAAAACAAGCCTTGAATCATACTTCAAAACATATATAAATTAACAAAAAATAGCAGCGAGTGCTATTTAGAAACACACACACAGAGGGAAGGCAGTGTGGAGACACACAGAAAGCAGATGGTTTGGGATTTGAATGAGCCATCCAGAAACCAATAGCAGGGTGGCACATGCCTGAAATCTGAGCACTCAGGAACCTGAGGCAGGAGGATTGCCATGAGTGTGAGGCAAGCCTGGGCTACATAGTGAGTCTGAGTCCGCCCTGAACTACATAGTGAGACCCTGTCTCAAAACAACAACAAAATATTTTCAGTACGATTACAATGTTTTTATCAGACCAATCCTCACATAGATAAAAGTTATAAACTTAACAAAATATAAAAAGCAACCTTTTGAAGAGCTGGGCACAGTGGCACATGCCTGTAATCCTATCTACTCAGGAGGTTGAGGGAGAAGAATCACAAGTTCAAGACCAGCCTTGGCAAATTAATGAAACTGTCTAAATTCAAAGCTAAAAAAGTCTTTTCAAGGGCTAGGCATGTAGCTCAGTGGTACAGCACCCCTGGATTCCACCCCCACTACCTTAAAAAATATCTGAAGATACTGAAGAACAATCAAAACCAGGTATCTACTGAAGGGAAGTCGACACTGACAAGCAGGGATGGCACCATAGCCTGTGAAAAGGCCCAGTCAGTGCCACCCAGGGTAACTACAGTTCCAATAAAAAACCACGAGTCTTATGGACTTGAGAAAATCAAGGGCATGTGTTACAGTCATCACTACAGTGGGAAAACTAAGGGAGAATCTAGGGAGACATGCAGGGGAAAGGGTGCCTAAATTCTGTGAACAAACTTTGCCCAGATCTCTGCTCAGCCACTTAAATGAAGTAAAATTTGAGCCACTGCATACCACAATGAAGAATGTTTCTAATTTGACTCTAAATTAAGTATTCAAAACAAGAAAATTAGCAATATTCAGAATTAAGCAGAATCCAACATCACTACTATATGTTTCATAGCAACTATGATATAAACCAAAATAACTCAATATAGAGACATAAAAGCGGGGAGAGAAAAAAATGAGGTCCAATAGAAAACAGTAACACACTCATCTGAGCTGATCGAAATGCCAGAAATGGCAGAAAATACCTTTAAACCAATTGCCTTGTAATTATGTCCAAGCACATAAAGAAAAATATGCATATAATGAATGAATAAATAGGATAGCTCAACTCAGAAACAAAAAGTAAAAAAATAACCAGCACTGACTGCTATAATCTGAAACAAAAAAACTCACTGGATAGGCTTAACAGAAGAATAGTTATAACAAAAAAAAGTTAATGTACTTAGGGTAGACCAACATAAATAATCCAATCTGAAGAGAAAAGAAGAAAAAAACTTAAAAAAAACGAATAGTGTCCTTGGGAGGCTAAGGCAGGAGAATCACCTACAGTTCGAGGCCAGCCTGGGCTACATAGTGAGTTTAGGGCCAGCCTGAACTACATAGGAAGAACCTGCCTCAAAAAACAAACAAAAAAATATATTTCCTATTTGTCAGCAAAAATCTTTAGACCACTTCCAAAGTAAGCACTGGTTGTTTTCTCTAACCAACTGTACCAGGAGCCAGTTAGTAGCTGGATTTCAAGTATCAATGCCTGAAGAAGGTAAGGATTTTGTGTCTAGTTATGGTGTGTATATTAGAATGGTCTGAAGCACCCTCTATTTAACAATGCTCAGGCAGTGGTAAAAGTTTTCTTCATAAATATAATTTCTATTTTTAGTATATCAGAGAAGATTGAATCATACAGAGGAAGTCAGTTTATTTTCACTATTGGTCAGGAATTAGGCAAACATGCATAATTCTACAAACTATCACATGCCCTATTAGCCTCAGTGCTCTAGACAGGTGGAACGAATGAAGCAAACCCTACAAAGACTCACTGGCCGAGATTCTGTGATCCTATTGGTTATAATGATCTACAAATTGACCATTAACCTTGTTAAAATTAGAGCAACACCTGCTAGAGAGCATACTGTCACTACCTTTGAACTTACGTTTGGCAGGCCTATGATTTGGGACTGAGATCTAACTTACTTATAATTAAGTGAATCCTCTCATGATCATAGTCATAGTTATTTAAAGGGGTTTTTGTCTTCTCTAGAAACCCTGAGATATAAAAGCCGAGGATCTGGAAGGACCTGCTGGAAGAAGTCTGCCACCTCTATCAACCAGGACACTTCATCTACATGCATGTGTGCTCAGTGAATGACAGGCTGTCATCCAGTTGGGAGGGACCTCTCCATGTATTGCTGTTCACTCATTCTATCAAAGTAAGCAAAAAATGTAGCTGAATTCATGCTTTCCTGTGAGGCCAGCACCTCAGGAAGCCTGGACTACCCAAAAAGACCTGAACCTAAAATTTTCTAGTGTAACTGATACTGATTCTGGGACTCAACTGGAAAGGGTATGCTGGCAAACTTATTACTATTCTCACAGACTGCCTTACTGTCCTGTTCATAGTAGGGGGATTTCAATTTCTTAAGAAAACACATTTTACTAAAAAACAAATCTGTTATTTATTATTTTGGGGTTTTTTCTCTCATACTTTCAATCATGGCTTCCAAAATTACATATTCCCAACATGATGGTTTATATCTAGATGTCCCCCCAAATCCTCGTGGCTTCATAGGTGGGGCTTTGAAAAAGTGACTGTGCCGCAGAAGGAATTTGCAAGTGACACACAGAGAGGCAGCAGAATGGAAGTAAAACAACAAATTTACTCATCAACGAGGGTTGAATGCACATAAGCAGTGCCTGGATCGACCTTTGCTGGCAAAATAAAATGCTATTTTACTTCCATTCTGCTGCCTCTCTATGTGTCACTTGCAAATCCCTTCCACAACAATTGGATTATGGGGACAGTATAGCTAACTTGCTATTAGGAGGGAAGGTCTGGTCAAAAGAGGTGGGTCAATGTGGGTATGACCAGAAGAGTACATCTCCCTTCCCAGCTCCTCCCTTGATTCTCCACTTCCTCTCTGCCATGCCCCTCTGCCTTGCTGGTCTTGCCTTGGAGCCAGCTGACTATGGACTAAAATGTGAGCCAAAATAAACCACTCTTAAATAAATGAATCTGATGCTGGAAAAATAAAAGAGGAGTGGAGGGAAGGGGGCAAATTAGAATTGAAATATGTTATATACGTGTATCAATTTCCTACAGTAAATGTAATCATTGAGTACTATAAACATGTACTAATAAATGTTAAAGGAGCTGGGGATTTAGCTCAGCGGTTCGGTGGCCTGCCTTGCAAGCTCAAGGACCCGAGTTTAATCCCCAGTACCAGAAAAAAAAAAGTTTAAAAAAAGAAATGTACTTCAATTTTACTTTCAGGATTCTCTAATAAAACTTTAAAAAGAAAAAAATAATAAACATCTCATTTTAGTTGAGAGTATTGGGTATTTTGTCTGTTATGAGAAAAATAACTAAAACACTCTATGAATCCCATATTATACTGTATTCCCAGAATAGACATGATCTGCGCTTTTAAGTCCAACAATCCAATTACTGGCATAGTAATGGTACAACCACCTTTGTTGGTAATGTTTTTAAAATACTGAAATAACTAATAAGCATCCACTTAAGTCAAGTATTAAATTTCATATAAAAATGTTTTGTTGGGCTGGGGATTTAGCTCAGTGGTGCTTCCACCAGCCTCACAAGTGCAAGGACCCGAGTTTGTTTCCCAGTACAAAAAAAAAAAGTTTTGTTAATTGGTTTGGTTAGAATGATCCTTAGAAAAGAAAGGAATCTGTTAACTAAAATACAATAAAAATACATAACTATAGGACAAAGCCTACTAGCAATTTGTCCTCTCTCCTTTACTATGGTGATGTTTTGCTTTAATAAAACTACTGACAACTACTGTGTAAATGTAGTGATT